TGGAAAGTTTCTTTGGTTTGTTTTGCTTTATGTGCCTTAACTCTTTTTCTTTTTATTAGCAAAGCAAAATGCAGGTTTCCCGCATTTTTCAATGGAGCAGAACAGTGCACTTAATTCTAGGACCCTTTCCAGATGATGATAAAATCCAGATTTTCTAACGTTCTAAACCAAAGCAGCCAGAATCTGTGATATTACATCTCCACATAGTGCTAGTATTAATTTTGTCAGTTGTTGGAGCTGTTGTTAGGAACTTGCTGTCGAAAGTAATACTCTCACCTCATTCCTCTGCCCCAACCCCCCCTTTCAAATCACAATAAATATATACTCGTGTAACTATTTTGTTAAGAGAAAAAGAGAGCTTCAAAGAGCAGTAGAGTGGAAGCTTGACTTAAGAGTGTCCCAACTTAAGAGCATTTTGAGTTAAGAGCCATTGCTTGGCCTGCGTTTCACTTTGACATGAAAGCAGCATTTTGAGTTAAGCACTAGTGCCAGGGGGAGTACAGGACTTTAGGGCTTCAAGAGAACAGCCAACAACCTCTGTGCCTCGTGCTCTTGTGTGCTTTGGGAGATTGCTGTCCGCTTTGCTCTTATCCGCTTTGAGGAACTTTGGGTTGGTTGATTTTGTGTGGATTTCATTCCTGGAATGTTTGGCTTCATGAAGAGCGAGGGGAGAGAGAGCCAAAGAAGAGGGGAGGCTGGAATGAGAACAATATGAAGAAAAGGATGCTTCTGTCTCTTCACTTTGTGCTTCCTTGCTTCAGATTTGTGCTTCTACCATTTTAAAGTTGATATTTTGTATTGTTTCATGTGAATGAGTTAAGAGCTCGGTCACAGAACAAGTTAAACTCTTAAGTCAAGGTATCACTGTATATATGCCCCTTGTTAAAGTTCTCATTTTCACTTTACAAAATAGATGTAGGAACTTCTCATGCCCAGGTCTGGATGTTTTACCATTTGAGGCAAAGAAGTAAACAGTAGCTATCTGTATTCCATATACCAAACTAAATTAGTCATTGGTTTAAACCCTGTTTGGAAACACCCTATATGGATAGTTCAGAGCAGTATAACAACATGCCTAAATACAATAAAGGTATTAAATCCTGTCTGAAGCAGAGTCATCCTGTGAAGCAGAGTCATCCCTAGTTATTCCTTGGCTGGAAAGCCACTAAATACGAAATGCTGTAGGCTATATTACAGAAAAAGTAAACCACCCTGGAGTATTCCTTAATCAACAAAACCCTATGAAATTCATGGGGTCACCATAAATCAACAAATGACTTCAATGGCAAACACACAATATAGGAGTAAAGGACTTCTCTCTCAGCATTCTCCAGTGTCTTTTCTGAAGTGATCCCCTTGCACAGTACCTTACATTGCCAGCTTTCCCCAGGTACCAGTCTGAACTGTACGAGTATTTGGTGGTTGCTTGGGAAGGGGGGCACATCAACACTGAGTGAATTAAGTGGCAATGAATAAATCACTATAGAGTGACTGGTTGCCCTCTGAGCTCATCACCTAAAGATCCTGGGAGTTTCAGTATGAGCTCAGTGAATATTTTGTCCTGACAGTTTGGTATTAGATTACAAAATAACAGGCTGAATCCACCCACCCCATCTTCCCTCCAACTTTTTATTTATTTTTTTAAGAACTTCTTTTGATGAATGATTTAGCATTGCAGATTGTGTAATCTGTTTTAAGAGATCCATTCACCTTGAAATGCCATGTGTGAAGTAAGGTTCTGTATTAATCAGCAAATATATGAAGCAGAAATAATACCTTCAGCAAGGCTGCATTCAAATAACAAGCTCTGGCCAATAAGTATGGTAGATAAGGATGATGTAATACTGCTTCAAAACTGCAGTTGCCAGATAGTCTTTTTGCCTCTTAAGCAGAAACCTATTGCTTTGTATGTTTACATAAGGAATATTTTACAAGAGGAATATGAATCCAGGAAAATACACAAGATGTAACAGACCAAAACCTGGGTTTAGTTAGGTCTCAGTGTCTAAACTAGTAATGAAAGAATATATTAGCCATCATCAATGTATAGATTGCAATTTAGCTGGAGCTGAAATTTAATGGAGTGTAACTGGGAGTTTGGAAAATGATACAGCAACTTTTTTATTTGCTGGCATCTAAGCCAAGGCCACATTCCCTGGAGGTAGTGAGCCAAAGGTCATATTCTAGAAGTGGGGAGGTCCGAGTTGATGTGGGGTTGAACCAGAGGCCGGATAGTGCTAGAGCTGAAACTTTTGGAAGAAGTAGTTCTTTTTGATATAACACTTCCCTTTAAAAATAAACAATATTGGAAAACCAAATAGGTGTGATTGCGCCTATAGCCCTACCTTTTAGGGATGTGCGATCCATTTAAAAATGGTTCAGGGGGCGGGGGGCGGGTGCTGGCATTTCATTTCTAAAGTGTTTCTAAAGTATTGTTGCATCCCAGATCAGGAAATGAGACCATAAGATTAAATCCATCACACTGGAGTGTGGGAAAAAACAACCCTTTTCATTGATGAAAAAAAAGTATGTATAGTGAAAAAAGTTACTATAATGAAAGTAACAAAATTACATTACTATTTCGTTACAGTAATTGTGTATAACCCCCTCCCCCTCCCTTCAGCACTAACTGCTGCTCTGAGATCAGAATGAAGTGAGGAGCCATCAAGGCAGTTCCATCTTGTCTCCTGCACTGTGCTTATAATATAATATAATATAATATAATATAATATAATATAATATAATATAATATAATATAATATAATATAATATATTGTATATACATATAATATTGATAATATTATAATGTAATACAATATACTACTACTACTAACAAAATGATATTATAATTATATATATTTATATAAAATGTAATATTACTAATATTACAGTATAATGTTATAGTACAATGTAATATATAATATTAATATTGTGCTATGATAATAATAGATTGTATTTACTTTTTACTTGTAAGCCGCTCTGAGTCCCCTTTGGAGTGAGAAGGGCAGCATATAAACTTCATAAATAAATAAATAAATAAATAACAATAATTGGGCAAACTTCAAGGGCTCCTTTCTCCCTATTTTTAAAAGCTATTGGGGTGAAAGTTGCTACAATTGTAGAACACATTTATTACTGTTAGCCCACCAAATTTCAGAACGTTTCACTTATCCACAGATTTTTGGGGAATTTAATATGCTTCCCCTATAGTATGGAGCCATTCATTTAGGGATTTCTTTCCAGCAAAGCACAGAAATTTACTTACGAGAAGTATCTGTCAGTCCTCCTCTTTACAAATTAGACCATTAATTGGAACTCTCACTGGCTGCTGTTAGGGAGGGACAAATCTCTCTCTCTGCTACCATAATTGTGCTTTCTGATGCTGGTGCATTCTGAGGAATGTACTTTTGGGCAGGACCTTTTAAATTATCTGACATACAGCCCCTCCCTTCCCAAACTACATTTCCCAGAATTCTGTGCTGTTCCGAGCAAACACTGCCCCCCCCTTTTTCCCCCTTCTCCTAATGCTGAGACTCCATTAATTTAGAGAAAAGGCAAGGCACTAAGGCAGGCTTTTTGGCTTTACTTTGCTTCCTTATGCTGAAAAGGAAACTGACTTTGGGAGCCTACCGAAGTTTACAAAAATAAAATGAAAAAGTATGGGGTAAGTTTTGATTCTTAATTTTTTTGGTGCAGGCCACACCCATGTATTGAATATCACCTTGTAAGCACAAAATTTAACAAATTTGATTCAAATTACAAGGCAAACAAAAAACATGCTGAAACCATAAACTTGCATCTTCGGGGCAGTGTAACCTTATTTAACAAAAGCTGAAGCCTTATTCCCAGATCTGAATTTCAATCAACCAGGAACACCTGTGCCATAAGCTTCAATTTGATGATGACCATTCAGTCAATTGCACATGTTAGGTAATGGGTTTATTGGAATTAGGCAGCAAGGAATAATAGAGCTGGGCATCATCAGAATACTACACAGGCAAAGCTCTGAACAATTTCTCTCTGTGGTTTCATTTGTATGTTGAGCCCCTTTGGGGAAAGAGGGCAGGTTATAAAGAAATAATAATAATAATAATAATAGTTATTATTATTATTATTATTATGCTAAAGATATATGTGAGAGACTCCAGAAGGTCCCGAGGGACCCCCCCCCCCATACCACACCACACACCAATAGACAACAGCTGAATTTTCTGTCAAGTCGTGGTCCTCTAGAATGTGTACGATTCTCTAAAACAAAAGTTGTGACCTTTATAACTAATATTGAGCAGCAGTTGAAGCAGAAATGAGAATTGCTACAGACTCTTATTCCTAATTAAAACTTTATACCCCTAACTCTTTATTACTTTATCCAAACTATCATAATAACAATTTCATTAGGTTTGTGATATGTGCCATGTAATTTTTGAAGAGCCTGAAGTGGTTCCATTCTGTTCCTTTATTTTGTTTCTTATCCTATTTCCCTGGACAATTAATTAAAAAACAAATCAGAAAGTGTGTTCATAACTTGGAAATTTTGTCTATGATATGGTGTTTTGCTTAGGCCAGGGGTTCCTATGATGGACCTAGCCATTACTGTTGCTGATATTGTTTGCTTTCAAATTGTTAATGACTTATAGCAATTTGGTCAACTTTTCAAATAGGGCCCCTATATCCCAGGATCTGATTATTCCAGATTAACCGGCAGTGGAGACTCATTTAATCCAGTTTAAAGCAGGCAATCAAGGATCAGATCCTGGGATACAGGGCAGAGTAAAAGGGGCCTGAGTGACATTTGAGTTCCACAAAGGAAAGGCTTGGCCTGTGAACATTGCCAAAAGTTTTAGTAAAGGAAAGAGTAAGAAGTCCAGGCAGTTGCTGAGCAGAGAACCTGTTTCTTAAAGTTGAATGGAAGAAGGTTTTAAACTTCCCCACCATTTCAAGTTATCTGTGGAAGGTGTCTGTGGGCCGGCACTTCTCTATACAGCTCTCTTGATGTGGAAGAGGCCAGGCATGCCCTTCGCTTACTTCACTGACTCACAGGCTGCATAATTTTCAGTCATGCTTCTGCAAACCGGAAGGAAGGAAGGAAGGAGTTAATATCCTGAGGCAGCCACCTAGTCGGGAGTGTTCAAGTGTGATTGTTCTTTCATTTCTCGACTGTGCAGATATAATGCAAACACCTTGAGAAGCAGAAGTTAGAGGAGTGCCTTTGTACAGGAGAGATTAGAAAATGGCTGATCCGGAATCAAGTCTTTGTGAAGAAGTCTGTGAAGAGTTGGTGCTGAAGGACCCAATCCCTGTGGTAAACGGACCACCATTCCATGAAGAAGATTATGAAAGTGTGGGACTGAAGAATGTCACAGAAAATCTGTCAGAATCTGAAAGAAAAGACAGCCACAGCAATAATAACAAGCCGGGAGGTGATCTGACTAAAAATGAAACTAAGGGGGAGCCACCGGATCCCATGAGCTCAAGCAGAGAAGGGGACGCAGTGGAGGAAGAAGAGATTCTTTGTGACTTCTGCTTGGTTGAAAAAGTACAGGCAGTGAAATCCTGTTTGACTTGCATGGTAAATTATTGCCAGGATCACTTGCGGCCTCACTTGGAGAATGTCAAACTCCAGACACACAAGCTTATGGACCCACGGAAAGATATTGACATAGAGAGCTGCGAAGCCCACAGGGCACATCTCAGTTGGTTCTGCCATGCTGACCTTACTTGCGTCTGTGAGGAGTGCCTTGCTGATGGACACCTGGAGCACAAAGTAGATACTTGTGAGGTGGCCAGGAAAGAAAAGGAGGTAAAGTGTGGATTTCTGTGTATCGTTATGTGTTGGGATGTGTATGTTTTAAGGGGGAGTGTCATTGTGCATTTAATTGCTTGAAAATACAAGGCTGAGCAGTTTTCTCTTTGACTCACAGTCTTCGAGGTGGGTGGGGCATGCCAAAGGGAGATTAAGCAACCCCTGTTAGATGGCTCTTGGAGTACAGTCTTCACATGTTCACTAGGGAGTAGCCCCACTGAAGGGAGCTGGGCCTCCTTCTGAGTAAACTTGCATAAGGTTGTGATATCAGTGTGGGATACCTGGAGTTTTTATGACTGTGTAACTGGAGTACTCTGAATTTTAGGCCATCCTTGTAAAAAGGATTGATTGCTTTATACAAGAGATGTCTGGATGAACAGAACTGTAGTTTGCTTGCTTTCTGCTAAAGAACATGGCTGTGTTGCCAAATGTTATCTACAGGCACACCAACCTTGGCTGTGTTGCAAAACACCGAAGCAGCTATGTGGCTGCTGACAGACTATTCAGAAACTGATATAAATCAACTTTTGGCATAGAAATCTTGGCTGCATGTCAAATGGAGATTTATGCGTGTATTTCTGGCGGTCACATAACCAGTTCAATCCTTAGTAGTATAGACAATACAATGCAAAAATGTTGCTCCTGTAAGGTTACGGAATTAGAAGAGCTAATGATTTTCACTGGAGGCTTAGTTCCCAAAGTTCTATGGATGGCCACAAAGTTGAATAGTTTAAAAAGTGGATCAACAAAATTCACTGATGAGGAGCGCTCTCAAATCTTCTAGTTATGAGTCCACTGTTTCTCTCCCCTCCCCTTCTCCCTTTCTTCTGCATGACATCAGTTTCAAGATAATGTATTATAGTTGTACTTGCGTCATGTTGGTTGGCTTCCCATAGAAACCAGGATGGTCATTGTGTGAATAAAATGATGGCCCAGAAGATCTATGTTTAGATCTAAGGCAAGTGTTTCCCTATGGTTTCTAAGATGCCACACAAGCTTGCTGGGTTAAGCTCTGCTCTACCTGACAAAAGATTTATATTTGCTCTGTTTGGCATACTGTCTCCAGTGTATTAGAACCACCTATCTGAGACTTAATCTTTTCACATCATACTCATCTAAATTACATTGGACCCACCTAAATCCTTTGAAAAGTCTGACATTTTTGAATGGTTGTCACTGAGAAAAATCTTTTATGGTTGCCACAGAGGGGGAGAGAAAGAGAACAATAATAGTTACATTAACAAATGCATATTCATCTTTCACTTTTTCATATTTATTTGCATTCATCTCTCATTTATATCATTCTGAGATTGGGGCTGAGGTTATGGGAGTTGTTCAGGAATCACCCATAGAACCCCATGTTGAAACAAGATCTCCCCAGTCATACTCCCAACTATCGATACCTTTGCTCACACCTACCAAAATGTTTGAAAAGTTTTGAGTTTGGACAGTGCTGAAGAGGTTAAGGAAGGAAAGACAAATTCTTTAGGGAATCAATTCAATTCAAAGACATGGGTTGAAACCAGACAAACACAGGTCTTAAGTAATCTTGGCAAAGCAGAGGGTGCTTGGTTGGATAGATCAGATGGCTAATTCATCAGACCCTGAAGTGAAAGAAAGAAAATTAGGAATGTTTTAAATGGGTCTTACCCTATATAACTACATTGACAAAATAGCAAACAGTCAATGGCATTTATGTATTTATTTATTGCATTCGTATGCCTCTGTTCTTCCAGAGCATCAAAAATAATGTTGAAAATTCACAATAAAAAAAATCAAAAAAATTAAAACCACAAAACATATTGCCTTTCTCCCAACTGTAAAATTAAGCCTGATGGGGCAATTAAGAACAATATAGGCTTTAACTTCCTCTTTTCTGCCTTTCCATTCCACCTCAGTAAGTCCTGTCATATCCTATCTCTAGCAAAGAAATGTTATTTAAAAGAGTGCATATCCACAGTTGCCAGTGCTAAAAATGCACCACTGGATTTTACATTGAGATGTTTCGACAAACTCAAACAATTGCATTCTTGAGAGTTTCTAATACCTTGCAAATGCAGAATTAAAAAGCAAGCTGTCCTAAATGATCACCTCAGAGATCTATCTGTTTCATTGGAAACTGTTTAAATTCCAATCCAGTTATGAACAATGATCTTCTTATGGATAATCTTTTCCATATCTCATATTTCCATGCTGAGACTTTCCAACCCTGAGGCTGTTATAATATGAAAATAATTCCAGAAATGGCAATGAATCATAGTTTAGGTGGAGTTGACAGGCATTCCTATATGTTATGACAACTGATGTGGTGTGAACTCCTTGCCTTTTCTGTCCATCCTCGCCTTCTCCAGGGTATGAAAACTATTAGAATTCCATTCGAATGAAGACCACAGGAATTTATGTTAGGTTCATCACTCCTGTTTCCCAACTCCAATTATTCCATGCTGCCTTTTAGTGCTAGGTGAGGAATTTTTCAGAGGGATGAAACTGAAATCCTTTGTGGTGTGTGTGTGTGTGTGTGTGTGTGTTTAATTTGAATCCTGTTTGCTGTATAGAACTGTTACCTCAGGAGACAAGGCATGGAGATCTATGGTCCAGCAGTTACAATCTGGGATTGAGACTGGGACACTTAGGTTTTTGGGCTATGTCTACTAGAATTCCTTAGCCAGCCTGATTACTGTAGGTGTTACTTTTTAACATAAAGATTTGCAAAGTGGCTAGAGAAGGTGTCCTCTTCCCATTCTTAAATTTTTAAATGGGTGCTTCTACATGCGTTTGATGCCGGGCAAACTGCAGTACCCCTTCTAATCTAGGTTGCTCCCTAAAGTTAAGATAATATCCTATAATATAAGATCCAATATCCAGTCTAATTTGCTCATGTGTATGGAGTGGGAAAGTGGAGGAATAAGAGGAATGTGTCCATCATGAGGACAACTTGAGCTGAAGAATGAAAATTCACTATTTTAGTACCTCTACTTTTTCGTTGTAATTTTTTCCAATTGAAAAGACAGCCATAAAAAGAAGTCTAAGACTGGATATATACTGCCCTATATCCCAGGTTCTGATTATAGGTTATCTGATTATTCCAGATTATCCCTAAGTGGGATCCTGGAACATTGTCTCCACAGCCAGGGAAAGTATGATGATTGTCCCTTCTTCCCCTCTTCAACCCCAATTTTCCCCAGGAGAAGAAAGAAAATCCACCTACTGCATGCAGCAGGTAGATTTTCTTTCTTCTCCTGGGGGAAACTTGGGGAGATTGGAAACTGAGCCCATGCCCAGCATCGTTGGGCTATCAGGCCGGTGTCCTTTCCTGCCACCAAGCAGCTCACGACACCTCTGTGTGTCCGTGAAGCAGTCTGGAACCAGCATTTTTCATGTGCCTGCATAGAATGAACTTGAAACCTCTGAGGCAAGGTACTCAGAAGGTCCAACGCCAAAAATGAATGCATTATTTTTGCTGCCTGAATGTGACATTTATACAGCTCACACGAATCTAAACTATTCAGTCAAATGAATACTTTCAAATCAATGTACACGTATAAATGGATTTCATTGTGTTCTCATCCCTCTGTAGAAACAAATCTCTTATTTATTTTTCAATGTGTTTATTAAAATATTAACAACTCAGCTTTCCATGTAAAAGATGCCCCCTCCCCATGCCTATCGTTTATTCATTTGTCCATGATGGTCCTTGATGCTGTCATATGGTTAGCAAAAATCATAAAATAAAAAAATCCAAACAATAATAAATCTATTAAAAACTAAAAAGAGTAAGTGAAAAATATTCTAATAGCAAGGTGTGGGAATAATAAAATGTTAACAATATACCAAAGTTGGCAGAATAAAAACATTTTATCATGGGGGGAAGCCAATAAGGAAATTGCTAACTGGGATTCTTGGGGGAGGGAGTGCTGATTGCAAACCAAATAATTTCAAACTAGTGGCATGTAGAGCAAAGCTCCAGTGGTGCCTGCAGTGAATTAGATAGGTTAATGCAGAGAAAGGCCAGATTTATAGGCCATTCCTAGAAACTAAGCTGCAGCCACTTTTGATAGAACAATTCTGGAGTAACAGGCTCCAGATAATATTATGCCTGTTGTATGCAGAATATTTTTTGAATATTTTACAGAGGTCACGCCATGCAAAATGCACTGTGATAATCTAATCTATAGAGGCCAAAACTTGCATTTGAATTTGCTTTCTTTAGGAAAAGACACAGAAGGCATATCAGTTGATGGAGTTCAAAAACACTCCTAACAGATGTTGCCTGATAATCTATGAATAAGACTAGGTCCAGGCATATCTCTGAATTGGGAACCGTCTTCACCAAGGGAACTGCAATTCTCTCCAAAACAACATGGATCAGTTTTTCAAATGAACACCATGCATGCCTGTTTTATCTGAATTAACAACTATTGCTGGATTATATGGCTAATGTAGATCCATAAACTGCAATTTAAACAGTTGGTAAACTGTGCTGTTGTAGGTTTTTTTGGCTGTATGGCCATGTTCTAGAAGCATTTTCTCCTGACATTTCTCCTGCATCTATAACCTCACAACCTCTGAGGATGCCTGCCATAGATGCAGGCAAAATATCAGGAGAAAATGCTTCTAGAACATGGCCATACAGCCAAAAAAAACCTACAACGACTCAGTGATTCTGGCCATGAAAGCCTTCGACAATAAGTTGGTATATTGGCTGGGATTTCTGGAAGTTGTAGGCCAAAACACCTGGGGACCCACAGGTTGAGAACCACTGGTGTAGATCCAGCAAGCAGAAGAAATTAGGCCCTTATAGGCTAGAATTCCTACCCCAATGGTCATAAAAGAAATAAGAAGGCAATTTTATTCATTAATTTGAAAAAAAATGTTGTATTGCTTCTGTCAATAACTCTTGCTTTGTCTATCCACAGTATGAACTTCTTCAACTCCAAGCAGAATATGACTGGAAGCTAAAGTCAGCTGAAAATGCAATAATTAAACTGCAGAAAAATTCAGAATCCATAGTGGTAAGAATTACATTGCCTCATTTGGTGCTTATATTCAGTGGTTGTAATGCCCAGTTAGGTATATTATGTATACATTTTAAAAGAGATTGCCCTGAAGTTATTTCTTTGTGTGACTATTATGGGCCCACAGTTTTTTCTCTAGATTTCAGTTGCCGTGTCCCTGAAAATTTGGACTGGAATGGGCTCTAGGTTTGAGGAATCCTTGTACAGACTAGCCTCTGGTTCTATCCCCTTTAAGTAGATCTTCCCACACTTTTCTTGGCAGCAGCAGCAGCAGAAACAATGTTCAAGGATGCAAAGGAGCTGGAACTTTTTTTTTTTGCAATGAAGCAGAATGTTCCACATAGTGCTCTTCCCAAAGTTTTGTAGTTACTCATTACAGTAATAGGTATTAGCTACATATATCTTTTCACACAGGGCTAATTTTCAGCAACATGCAGCAGTTTAGCCTTGGTCACCCACCAAGCTGGCCAGCTTCCATCACATGACTCTGGCACAGCTCCATGGGTGGAGGGTGAGGCTGGCGGTGGCATGCACCAGCCCCACCTTCCACCCACGGAGCCACGCTGGCATCATGTGATGGGAGCCAGCTGGCTTGGTGGGTGACCTGGACCACACCACATGTGCTCACGTTTCCCCCATGTGATTGCCTTCTACTGGAGCTGAACTATGAAAGTCATGGGACTCCAGGTTCCCCATGCCCTTTACGAAGCGAAGTATCTCTGACTGCCATCTGATGAAGCAATTAAGTAGTCCTGTGGCGGGGGGGGGGGGGGGGCTATGGCAATGGGATTTTTAAAACATTCAAAACCACTGGGTTTTGTGAATACTGAATATATCAGATTCCTTGCTTTTTTCTTGAGACTTAGAGAAATGCTGCCTCATTGATACACAATGCAGTTCAAGTTTTACTGTCATTTTTTTTGTTTTCTTTTGCATGCTGAAACAAAATATGGGGTATAAATAAAGTTAATAGTAGCAATAACAATAATAACATCAACAACAAAGATGATGACATAATGCAGAGTGACATTCATTGTCTGCTCTGACTACTTTAGACTGAAAGCAAATAGTAAGGCCCTGTGTTTTTCTGTGCCACACTGTCCAGGTGAAAGTTTATAAAGAGACTAAAAAAACCCCTGTTTATATAATTATATAGCTTTAATTATATAATGAAGGTCAGGATAATTACCATCCCCAAAAGTATGGCTAATGTAATGGAGCAATATGTAATAATGGTCTCTTACAGACCTGGCAATATGGCATAGATGTGTGTTCCTGTCTAGGAACTGTACTATCCAGAAAGTCTCCTCAACTAAAGACAAAACAATTCTGTCCAAAGCAGACTACAACTCTATTCCTAAATCAGTGTTCCTCATAACCACAGCACTTCCTATCTCATCTAGATTAGGTCACATTACTTGCAAGGTCCAACATGTTAGAAAGTAATGAGTAGAATGACAACTTCATCCATACAGAGGTTTTGTTGAAGAAACAGCTTAACGGTAGCACCCAGCAAATAAGCCTCTGAGTCAGATTTCTGCATAGCAGATGCATTGTCATAGGGTTGGTCATTAAAATAACAGTAGAGTGACAAATACAATTTTTTGCTATCTTTTGAAAAGTTAATTAAATAACAGTCCTTCTGCTACCCTTATAATATCACAAGGATTTCAAAATGTTACACTTCCATGGGAACCACTAGAATCACTAACCTAAAAAAATCTCTGCATTTGATTTGTAGTGTTCTGTGATGGGTTTTCCCACCTTTCAACATTTCATAGATGAAAACTGGGACATGTGTAACCAAGTGATCAAGACAGCAAACGCTATTGATGAGGAAGAACACAAAACTAAAGAGTGTCTGCAGTTTACTTTTGCCTGAACCCAAGACAAGATTCTTGTCATTTTCCCATGCTACTTTTGTACTTTGAATTCAGTATGGAGCAATTGAACCAAGCTATGGACAAACTGCAGGTGTGCATGCAGAGTTGAAAGTGAAGAGAAAAACTGGGTTATTTTTCAAAGCAACTAGGGGCGCATCTAGACAGCTTAACGACAGCATCCAGCAAATAATCCACTGGTCAGCCTTTAACTTGGAGTAAAGATACTATGGGCAGATCTTTATAGATAAACTATGCCTGAGTGCTATAGAAATGCAAAAGGTGCTGTTATGGTGATAATAATCACTGAGGGAGAAAGACAGGAGAGAAGATGTTGCCTGAAGCCAATGAGAGAATAACCATATGATTGGAAGAGGAAAGTACTGAATTGTAGCTTGATGCTAGCTGCAACCAGAAAGGGGATGTAATAATTGGCCAAGGGGCCCCTCATGAGGTTTGGGTGATAACTGGTGTTAAAATATGTGAAATGTGTCAGGAAATCATTGTCGTTGTTCAACCTACTGCTGATGGACTGGAGTTTGTGGATATTTTTCAATTCCACTGTTTCTCCTTCCATTCATTCTACCAATCATAAATTAGTTACCTTAGCCTGTTGTGGTTTCTTTTGTTGGTAATGGAAAGAAGGTTTTGTGTGAGTTTATTAAAGTTGGTGTTGGGTACTATTTAGCTTGACAGAGAAAAGAAAGTACTTTTTGGCATTCTGCCTCAGGCAGCAAAATACCTTTACTACCTCTTTCCCCCTAATAATTATGTTTTCTAATGTTGATTATAAGTCCCTATGGGAAAATTATTAGGGACACAATAGGAAAATGGATACATTGGATATTTTTATTCCTGCAGAATTCAGTTTCTGAAGTGAAAACCTTGGTGGAGGAGAAATTTGAGGAGCTACTGCAAGCTGTCAAGAAGACTCACTCTGTCGTTTTAGCATTCCTTGAGGAGAAGGAGCGCACTGCAGTTAATCATGCAAATGGAATAAAGATACACCTTGAGAACAAGAGAGTGACAATGGAGGAATGTAAGAATAGGTTAGAGAAGATGGCCACACACACCAATGACATCATCTTCCTAAAGGTATCTTCCTTGATTAAAAGTCGTAAATGGCCAGGTAGTACAATTTAGATAATCTGGGTTATTTGGATAATCTGGGATCAGATCCCTGGATATAGGGCAATGCATTTCCAGCCTTAGACTGCCTTTTCAATTGGGAAAAATTGCAATAAAAAGTGGAGATTCTAAATAGTGAGTTAAATCCAGTCATTGCATCTCATTACATTTCTTTGTATGTACATGTCCTCCTCCTGTGAGAACACTTCCAGTTTCTTTGTACTGTACCAGCCATTCTATCTGATAGAAAGAGAAAACAAATTCTTAATTATCTGAATATTTTTGTCATTTTTATTATGATCAGGGAGTGGAACTTAAGTGATATTCTGTTCCAATTAACTCAGCTGAACATGGGGTATATTTCTATTATGCACATTTACCAAAAGTGATACTGAACAGCATTGGTCCAACTCCAGCTTCTACAAACTTTATTTGTCCCTGAGAGTTAGTGCTGAAGTGTTGACATGAAGAACTTCTCCTAGATACATCTCTGAAGCTAGCTGCTGATTGACATGTATGTTGGAGGGAACTGCTGGTGCTGCTCAGCATGAGTCACCTTTTGGCAATCCTAAGTGTGTAACTCCAGTTGAGAAGCAGCACAATAGGCACCAAACCATCTCTTAAGTAAAGGGCCCCAAATCAACAGAAGAACCATCTTGCCATGGACTACAACAAGGATCTGGGTTTAGATAGCTGCCCCAACACCTGGGAATATATGTTTGCATGTGGTAGTCTGTTTTCTCATTCTGAGAGATTGATATACTCATATGCCAAGTAGATCTAGGCTTGATCACTTTGGATGCATTCTAATGTCACTGTAAATAATATATAAAATGGCAACACAGAAGCAAGAAAAAGGAAAGTTGCTAGGTATTAGAGAACCAATAGGCCTACAGATGTTGGTGATCTACTATTCCTGAGATCTCTTTCCATTATTACAATTCAGGGAAAGTGGAGATTAACAACATCTAAGGTCAAAGCTCCCACAGCTCCAATGCAGCCATTATCAAAAGGGAGATACTTACAAGGCAGTGTGAGGCTGCTTGGGCCTGATCTTGGTTAACTCTGGGTAAGGCCACCTTAACATGGTCTTGTTTTGGGTTAACCTAAGTTGGGGTAAAGCCCAAATCTCAGCTGTCCCCCCAAATTAGAGACAATGGTTTTGACCACCATTCCATGTTCTTTGGTTCAGGCAGCTTGGGGGGGGGGGGACACAGAGTGTCATTCCCCTCTCCTGTGATGGTCCCCAGCTGTGACACGCCACCTACGTGCTTCTTGGCATTCTGGTTTATGTTAGCCAGAGCACCACCATACCAAGGGTGATGGGAGGATGGGAGAGGGGATGAGAAAAACCCTGTAGCAGCTGATCAAAGGTGCCAAGCAGTGTTCAGTGTGTCCAGGCAATAGGAACTCCCTCCTGCCTTCAAGGAGCTTGAGTGAGTCCCAAAGAGGAAACCATGCAGGCGTGATTTGGCATGTTGGATGCCAGATCAGGCCTGTGTTTGCTTTATGTGTAGATAAAACTTAAGAGGCTATGAGTTCAGTGGCTTCTGTTATTTTATTGGTACATTCCGTATCCTAAAGGTAACTTAGATAGAAAGAAGTGTTATCTGAGGATTCAGACCAAGACAACAAGATCTGTTATCTTAGGATGATTATTACTGAAGCTGAGTGAAAATTAATTAAAAGGATAATATTTATTCTCTCTCTCTCTCCCACCATCTCTCGCCCTCCCAACTTTCCCTCTGTGTACATACTTATTACCAAGAATACTGTGTATTGAAAAGAGATATTTATGAGAGTATTCATTATTAATAGGAATATTGTGAATTCAAGAAGAGTGAAGGAGATGACACGCTACCCAGTGTTTATATTGGTCTAAAGGACAAATTGTCAGGAATCCGAAGGGTGGTCTCGGAGTCCACAGAACACATTTTACAGTCACTGCAAACTTCCTATAAGGACAAGTTACAGGAATTTGCCAAAGATGGTGGGTATTCATTAATCAACCCATCCCCAAAACTACTTACTCCTTAGTTACTAAAATAAAGAATAACGTTGGTCATGATAACTTCCTTCCTTCCTTCCTGTTAATTTGCAGAGGATGCTGGGATAAAAACAATGGTGTCTGCAATTGTTCCATCCAAGCACCGCTTATCAGCTCCAGAACCTGAAACTAGGAGTGACTTCCTCAAATGTAAGTAATTGGCTATTTTTTGTGACTCCCATAAGCACATCCCTTGTTAGGCAACCCAGTGATCATGCGTATAAGGAATATTTCTTTAGTTTGTGATATGAATTTAATGTGTTAGTGCTGTTTGAATGCTACTATGGGGGTTAGTATATTTCTCTTGCTAATAGCAAGAGGGGAAATAAGTGCAGAAAGTCTTCTAATCAACTGTTGATATTATATCAAACATACATGTGAAACATCACATTGCCTTATATAGCAAGCCATCACTTTCTACTGTTTTAGTACAAGGAAAAATGTGAAAGTAGCAAACCACTAGCTACCCCTTAGATTTTCAACTATTGAATAATGTTATTTTCTCCTAGTTCTAATGTTGCTCCCAACCTAACTCCTCAGTAAAATGTTAAAATTCTTTATAAAAAATATATCCATATTTTCCACAAACAAAACAAAATACCTGAAATCACCAAAATTTACTTGTATAAAAAGAGATGCTTGAATTCTTTCAGAGGGCTCTTCTACACAGACCAAAAAGGCAAGCATGATCCGTCATACCGAGCACCAGATCAGGCCTGCATGGAGTCCCCACAGGAACTCCCTTAGCCTTCTTGGAGGCTAAGTCCCTACTGCCCAGCCATGCCAACCACAATTCAATGTCTTCCCACCCCATGTTGCAGTAGTCCCTAGCCATGACTCATCACCTAACTTGTTCCCGGCACTTTGCCTGATGTCAGGCAAAATGTTGGGAACAAGGTAAGTGCCGTGTTACAGCTGGGAACCACTTTGACATGGGGGATGGTTGGAACTGGAATCCCATGTCCCTGAGTTGCCCAAGCCTGAGGAACACAGAATGGTTGTTAAGACAGTTATAGCCGGTAATGGTTGGGAACTGGCCTAACTGTCCTGACTTAGGTTAACCTGGGGTAAGACTGTGTTAAAGTGGTCTTGCCCAGGTTATCACAGATCAGTCTGTGTGGCATTGAGTATGGAAATGCCCTTAGTCCCAATCAAAGTCAGTCTATTGAATCAAAGGTATTTACTTACGTGCAGATTCACTATTTAATTGGATTACATCTGTTGAACCTAATAGGGCTCAAGTTGGACCTTCTGGGCGCAAAATTAAATTTAGCACAGAGAGTTCTATTCTTCCACTTCCTTACATATATGCCTATATCTATATCATTATCTACATCTACCTTTGCAGATACTTGCCCACTGACATTTGACCCAATTACGGCTCATCGCTATTTGAGGCTCTTGGATGACAACCACAAAGTCACCAACACAACACCATGGGAGCACCCGTACCCTGATCACCCAGAGAGATTTGAGCACTGGCGCCAAGTGCTGTCAGACAAAAGCTTATATATTGGACGCTACTACTTTGAGGTGGAGATCTTTGGGGCTGGCATTTACATTGGTATGACCAACAAAAGCATAGACCGAAAAGCTTCAGAAAGCAATGGCTGCATCTCAGGGAATAACTTCTCCTGGTGCATCAAGTGGAATGGCAAGGAGTTCTCCGCTTGGCATAGTGATATGGAGACACCCTTGAAAAGCCAGGAGTTTAGTAGGATAGGCATCTACCTGGATTACCCCAGGGGTACCCTGTCCTTTTATGGAGTTATTTCTGAAACCATGACACTGTTACATAAATTTGAGTGCAATTTTACTGAACCTCTGTACCCAGCCTTCTGGCTATCAAAAAAAGAAAATAAGATGCGGATTGTCAAGCTGCGGGAAGAGGCGGAGCAGAGTCCAGCCCCTCCTCTTACCTCTGGAGAAGTCCCTTCAGTCAGTACAGCTCTGGCAACAGAGAGTGAAGCAGTGGCAAGTATAAAGATGGGTGATTTGGGGGTGAATCCAGTGAATGGATGATTTGATCATGGGCAGTTGCCTACCTTTTCATGTGCCATTTGTATGTCATTAAATAAATGGATCTTTATATATACTTAAATGTTTTGGTTGCTTGCTAGTTAATAGATATCACCTTTCAATTGAGAAGCAAAGTAAGAAATGGCTGGTGCTTCCTTCTCTTTAAATTGGTGGCATTGAGAAGATTTTATTTATCTTTAGAATTAGCTTCCTTATGGAAAAACTGTGCTGAAGGGTTGTTTGTGTGTGTGTTTTAAAAAAGCTGTACCAACTCTCCAATTCAGGAAAGAGAGAGATGGAAGTTGTGGCGAGGAGACCAAAGTCTATATTATCTTGGTTGGCTCATTGTCCAACTAAATTGGGACAGATTGAATATGTTTGACTTAGTGGAAACTTGGACTTAGATCTCCCAGGTCCTAGTCCAACATTCCCACACATGGCATCATATTGTCTGTTTTTGCTTCCCACCAGAATTTACACTTAATGCATGAACATCAGGCTGAGGAAAACTATGTTGATGTGTGCTGCACTTCTGCTCCCAGATTATGGGAAGGGTCGATCTTTTCAGGTTTATCAAATTTTAAGAAGAAGGTTCTCTTTGAAATGGCCATGCTACTCACCTGTAAATCACATAAAAGCTATATATACGCTGAGTATTTCTTACCCAAAATGCTTCGGGGGAAAATGCTTGGATTTGGGATTTTTTAAAATTTTGGAATACCTTTATTTGTCTATATGTACACATTAAACAATGAGATATCTTGGAGAAGGGACCCAAGTCTATACACTATGCTTCACATAACCTTACACATAGAGTGAAGGTAATTTTGTACAATATTTTTTCATAATCCATGCATGAAACACAGTGTTTGTACATTGAATACAAAAGCCACCTATTTGGATAATTTTGGATTTTTTTTCAGATTTCAGAATTCTGGATAAGGGATACTCAATCTGAATTTGCCTTAAGATTTCAAATATTTGTATGGGGTCAGTTGGGCTTCTATGGTTTTTGTCTCTAAAAATATTTTTTTATCATGTCAGGAGTGACTTGAGAAACTGCAAGTTGCTTCCTGCATGAGATAATTTGCTACCTGCAAGGATGTTGCCCAAGAGATGCCCGGATGTTTGATGTTTGACCATTCTTGTGGGAGGCTTTTCTCATGTCTCTGGATGAGGAGCTGGAGCTGACAGAGGGAGTTCAATCTGCTCTCCTTGGATTCAAACTGCTGATCTATTGGTCAGCAGTCCTGCCAGCACAAGGGTTTAACTCATTGCACTACCAGGGGCACTTCTCCTTTTAAAATACCTTGGTTATTTTGGCCTCAGCATGATTCTATAGCATTCCTATATCCCTGACCACCCCAAACTGTGCTAAATGAGACTTACTCAGAGGAGAGAAACATATTGCAGTCTTGATTATATTCTATAAGGCTTCTTAAACTAGCCAACCCAGTCTTTCTTAACTGGGTACTTTCCAAATCTTTTGGACTACAACTCTTCATGCACGGGAGTCCTATGCCAATTAATCTGGAGGGCACCTTCTTGGGGAATATTGGGCTAGATTGAGTGTGTGTCTTATTTAAAACACCCCTATTTTTATTTGAAATACTATTATAAGAGGTGGATTTTTCTTGGCTGAAAGCGGACATGAGGATTAACCACAGAGTGACGTAAGGGAGACATGAAAGAAGAACCAAATGTCTCTGCACAAGGTCAAATCAAGAATGACAAACAGTGGAGTTGAAATGAACCTTGAAAAGTGAGAGAAAGCCTGGGTGTCAAATTTTCCTTTCGTATATGACCAAATTAACTTCAAAATTAAACAAACAAACATGTTCTGAAGACTAGGACTTTTTCCAGGAATACAAAACTCAGAGACCGAAGGAACAGGCAGTTGTTTCAGAAAAGTCTTGAAATGCAACATTTCTCCACATGGGGGCAATATTGTTTCATAACAAATCTGATGTGCCAACAATGAACCAAGTGTTCGGTTGGCAAGTTTGATTTTGTAAAATTTCCACTCCTCTTCAGAGAAATTTAGTCATGTGCTTTAGAAAGCAATTTCAGCTCTGTGCAAATATAGATATTTTTTAATAGATCAGTAATAATATAGGCTGGTGTAGAGACATTTCTGAATCAGTACTTGAAGGTATATATAGATTTGGTTTAAAAAACTGAATTCTGATCAGACTGAGTGAAGCAACCATCCCAGGCAGGAAAGATTTGGTCTTATGAAATGGCTAGTTACTCAAAGTGGTGCTTGTTGCATTTTTAACGTCAGATATGGAGAGCAGTGCTTTTCTGTTTCATGTGCCAAAATAATCTGTCCAATCTGGGAACCAACACATCTTGACACATGTAGTATGATGTTTGCTACTCCATCTAATATTACAGTATATCTGGTCTTTTCAGCAAAAGGACATAGGCAAGAAAAAGCAGTTGGTGGATAGAGCTGGACCCCTCACTGCTTATTCTTAAAACAATTAGTTTTGCATCTTGGGTCCCCTCCTGGATGTTTTGATGGCAGCTTTGGGCAGGGCTGACTATACTTACTTTCAACCAATGTGCCTGCGGTGTCCCTCTCTGGGAATGTTAGAACTGGCTTCTTATATGTTTCTTCAGTCCCTCAGCATTGGGCGTGATTGTTGATATGCATTGCTATACATGCATACACAGCCAGAATGCTGTAGTGGTTTGAAGATTGGACTCTAGTCTCAGCAACACTCATTTGGTTCTGCTTTGTCGTTTTCTGAATCGGTTTGACTCCTCTTGGGCAATGTCTACTCAGATTTTTAAAAAAGTAGATTCACTGCTAAGCTGCTGTAAGGAGTTCACAGTTAGATTTGCAGCATGACTGCATCCAGCAAGTAATCAACATCAAGGGAACATGTGTTTTACACTGGAGATTCCTGGTAACTCCAGAGCAGTGGTTCTCAACCTGTGGGTCCCCAGGTATTTTGGCCTATGACTCCCAGAAATTCCAGCCAGCTTACCAGTTGGTAGGATTTATGGGAGTTGAAGGCCAAAACATCTGGGGACCCACAGGTTGAGAACCATTGTTCTAGAGTGATCCTGCAGTTTTGAAAATGAGGAACACTGCATCTAACCCGATCAACTGCCCACAATGCCAACAGACCTTCTGCTGTGTCTCTGCCAGCAAGTAGCTCTCTCTTTGGGGTTTGCCATCATGAATGAGAGACCTCCAAGTCACGCAGCCATCAGGTCTTAAAGACTCTATGCAATCATGGCTTCTGTGATTGAAACCATCCATTTGGAATGCAATCTTCATCTTTCCATGCCATCTTCTACCTTAGTAAGCATTACTGTCTGTTTTGGTGAATCACATCTTGTCATAATATAACCAATGTTCAACAGTCTCAACTGAGTCATCTTGGCCTCTAGGGAAAGTTCAGGCTTGATTTGTTCTAGATCTCACTCTCAAACTGTTTTGCAGTGTCTGTAGAACTTTTCTCCAGCACCACATTTTAAATTAGTAGATTTTCTTCCTATCCGGTTTCTTCACTGTCCTGCTTTCATAACCATACACAGACACTGGAAATACAATGGCATGGACAATCCTAACTTTAAGTATTCAATAATATATTTTCACACCTGAAATTATTGTCCAGTTCCTTCATAGCTGCCATTCCCAGTCTTGGTCTTCTTATTTCTTGACTGCATTCAGATTAAGTAATGGGCCAAAGTAAGGACCATCTTGAATTATTTCTATGTTTTCACCATTTACTTCAAAGTTATGTGGTCATTTTCTCTCTCCTAATGTTCAGCTTCAAACTTGCCTTTGCACTTCCTTGATTTTTTTAAAAAAAACAATCATTCTATGTCTTGCTATTTCTGTTAGTAACTGCTCGTTTAAATATATTGGGGGTTAAGGGGGGTTGTATTTTCTCCCCAAACACTATTTCCCTCCCCTTCCTCCTAGTTGTAACAGAATAGGAAAATAAACACCTGAGAATAACAAAGGGCAAAGCAGATTATGAGAGAAGAAAGCCTTGTGACACGGGGACAAAGCTGTCGAGGGAAACGTTCAGGCTGTATTTGTTCAGCCAATCAGCAGCTGCCGTGCCTATGATGGCAACCTGCCAGTCCCACCAATGGTGCTGGCCCATGGGATGGTTATTACAAAGGAGGACACCCACCCATATTGGCTCTCTTTAGAATGCTACTGAGAGAGAGAGAGAGAGAGAGAGAGAGGGAGGTGCCAAATGAATTTTATATCCTGGATATGATTTATCCCTTCTACATATTTAGGGAGAGCATCCTGCAAACCTTGGCATGCAAACAGGCCTGCTGCTAGATCAGATTAATAATTTTGAATTAAGCTGTAAAGCAAATGTCCCCATTATGCTTTAAAACCTACTAAAAACTGACACTTTTGGAGGAAGCAGGAGAACATTTTGAGCTGAACAGCAGCATCTAAATAGCCTGAAGAGAATACGAGAGAGATCCGACTTGTGCGGCAATTTCGAATGTCAAAACAAGTTTGCTCGCTACCATGAAAAGCTATTTGGACTTCACATTTTTAATTAAAGTTTAAATTATCCCCAGAGTATTTTATTAGATTTTATGAAGACAGCTGCTTTTTAGGCTATAAACCAAAGCTTTGCTCCGCTCCAAAGAGCAACTTGTCCCAGTTAGGAGTTTTGTTCTGAATAATTTTCATCATTTGTAAATGGGGTTACTTAATTTAAACTGACATTTACCATCCCAATTTGATTGAAATGGCTTCTTTAAAAATTGCCAAGGCAGCAAATAACTTCGCATGGGGATTTTGTGCTATTCTTAGATAAGATGGGAGAACCTCCCTTGGGCCCAATTTTCCTCTGCAGAACGAAAGCCCTGCTAAACCTGCTGGCCTCTTATTCACAGGTTGGATCCTGACCTCACCCAACCTTTTCTATTTCCACACCACAAGTGCCATATGACTGGAAATGTCCCTGGAGAAATCAGTGGGCTGTTACTGGGGGCAGAATATAACATATTGCAAGATGCAAATTTCTATAGAGGCTCTGAAACATTTAAATTTTTTAAAATGTGTGATCAGCGTGAAATATTTTTCTTTGAAAATAAAAC